AAATGGTGAACCAGTGCATAATGGAGAAGAAGATGGTGTAAAGCTGGAAACTTTACTTCATGGGGTTTCCTGCAATACGCTTGTGGCTTTGCTTCGGGTGTACGGTTAGGATGAGCTATTGGGCTTTTGCTTGTGGGGCTTGAATGTACATAAATTTCACAAAGCCCAATGCATGGATTAACTTCTAAACCCCCTTTTCCCCCAATTTTGCTAAGATAAAATTGTATCACTACTAGCAATGAGAAGTTGGCTTAATGTCGAGTCAAAAGTCCTGAAATTCTAAGAGTTCACAGTCTGAATTATACACACCATTTGAAGAATGGAATGGAATGTCTGTACCTAGAGATTCAAGCCCTTCCTCACCCAAGACAACTTGTACAAGTACATAAGCGTAAATGTAGCTGTAATCAATTCACTTTGGTCAAGTCGGTAATTCGAAACTAAAAACAATTTTGCTTACAACATATTTCAGCAGGGAATTGATAGTTGCCTTTGATTGGTTGAGGAAAATGACTATTGGAAGCATTTTCCAATTGATTTTGTGTAATCTCACACAGAATTCCAGGAAACTACTTGTTACAACTAGCAACAATATATTAAGCACAGTTGGTGTCATTTTCATGGTCCATAACTCTCCTCTTTTCTTTTCTTCTTCTTCTTTTTTTTTTTTTTTTCAATTTCAGATTCTATACCGTGGCTCAATTTTATTTTATTAGATACATTGTTCTGAAGTCTGAACTTAACTGCATGTATAATATCCTTATCTCCCTTGGTGTTGTCATCCTATGCTTGTGCCTGAACCAGTTTATCCTCATTCCTATGTATAATTCTCATAAAAAGTCAATGAAACAACTTTGATACCTCAGCGTGGAGAAAAAACTGGGATCATAAGGTATAAAATAATAAATTGTATTTCATCTTTTGAAGTTTATAACTTGATGGCGATGGAAGGGAAAAAACAAAACAATCTATCTCCCTGATACCATTGTAACTGTCACATCATTTGAGGATACAATATCTGGTCCATCTAAAGAAAAGTCTGCACCTATAGAACTCCTCATGGAAGTATAAGTTGGTTGTCTAGGGACTGGAAGTTTTTGGGATTCTCTTTCTAGCATTAGCACTGCAGATTCAGTTTTTGGTCAAAGTACTGCACAATCCAGCACGCACAGCATGCCTACATGCAGCATTTCGTAACTTCATTAGGATTACATGTCCCTAATGGAAGGATCATTGAGCTCCATTGGCTTATTTTCATTCCAAAGATCCCATGCCTGAAACAAGTTGAGACTTCAGTATTAGTGTTGCAGCTCTAGTTGCTTGTAAGAAAAGTGCAGTTTCTAATTTGAGAATAGGCTAGTCTAGATAAAAACTGCATACAGAATTACATAATAGATCAGGCTGGTGTGATCAGATGAATGAAAGCTAGTGTTCTTCTAACCACTCACAATCTCCAATAGTACGCCAAAGCTGTACGCATCTCACTTTACAATAGCAACCAATTGGGATTTATGTAGTACACGCTCAAAGGCCATTAAATCCAGTAACAATCAGCAAATGATGATGATTTGTGCCAGCAACAGCAGCAATACAATAGCAACGGGCAAATTCAACATTTTTCAAATTCATATATTTTGGAATTACATTTTTTTTAATCTAGCAACTGATTCTCAATAACAATAACAATAATAGTAGTAAAAGAGTGGGATTTCACTAATCAGAAGTTATCAACCTTCAGCAAGTGACAGAGTAATCTCCCAAATGGAGCATGGATTGTTGTCTCTGGGTTGATCAAATTTTGATGGATTATGGAATGTAAAAATAGGTTCTTTTGGTTGCAGAAGCTCTGTTTCACTGCTTAGCATGGAAATCACTGCTGCCATGGTTGGCCTATTTTCAGCATGGTCCTGAACACAAAGAAGAGCAACCTGTATGCACCTCTTTACTTCAGTGGAGGAAAATGAGTCAGCCAGTGCATCATCAATTAAGTCTAGCTCCTTGCCTTTACTCCATAGTTGCCATGCCTGATGCAATGTAGTATGGGTCAGTATTAATTTAGAAGACAAATAATGCAGAGATGCAATTTTGAAACAAGAACTGCAGTACTTACATGGGAAAGAAGGCTTAGATGTTCATTGTCATAGAGGAACCTGGTAACCTTCTTGCCACTAACAATCTCTAATAGCAGAACTCCAAAGCTAAAGACATCTGATTTCTCAGAAAATATCCCACCCAATGCATACTCAGGAGACATATAGCCACTGAAATTTATTTGGATGATGGAACAAGCAAGTTAATATATTGACAATGTTTATCAATAGCTACTTGAATTGTTGAACCACCTAATTTCTTTATTCAACTTGTTTCCATAACTCTCCATTGGTGTGAGCTAAATCTATTTGTGCAAGGAGAAAAACTAAGGGTTACGGCTCAGCTTATTTGTATTTGTGCACTTTTTGTTGCCAATTTCTTAGGGTAATATTTAATTCATGAAGAATAATAGTTGAATATGTTCAAGAAGAAGAACTGTGCTTACAATGTTCCAACCACCTTGTGTGTCTTTGCCAGATTTTGTGTCCCTTCGAAGATCCTTGCCGATCCAAAATCTGAAATTTTTGGGTTCATTTTGTCATCTAATAGAATGTTGCCGACCTTCAAATCACGGTGTATAACCCTTAAACAAGAATCGCGATGGAGATAAAGAAGCCCATGAGCAATCCCTTGGATGATGTTGAAACGTTCTGCCCAAGATAGTTCTGCTCTTTTTGTTGGATCTAATAAAATGCATTCACTGGAAACATAATTAACATTTACAATTCTCTTTTGAAGCAATATATCAAAAGTTATAAGCAGAATTCAGGCTAGCAAGATTACTAATCCTGCAAGCATAATTCTTAGAACAATATTCAACGCAAGGAAAAGATCACGATTTGATGGTTAGAAAGATGATATGATGAGATGAGATGTGATGTGATGCAACCATGGGAGAAAAGAAAATTTCTTTATGAAACCTACTAAAGAGATAATTATCCAAGCTTTTGTTGGCCAGGAATTCATAAATGAGTATCCTTTCTTCTCCTTCAACACAGCAACCAACTAACCTAACAAGATTTCTGTGTTGTAGTTTCGAAATCAACCCGACTTCATTCTTGAACTCTTTTATGCCTTGTCCTGAGCTACTAGAGAGTCTCTTCACTGCTATATCTGTTCCATCGTATAGCTTTCCCTAACAAAAATCACAAATTCATCAAGCTGTGCTGTCTAGTTACCTTTGTAGAATTATAAAGCACTCTTTGAAAAAGACATAT